AAGAAAAGAAAAGAAAAAAAGGAAGGGAGGGATGGAGAGAGAGAGAAAACATCATGTTAAGTGAAAGAAGCCAATCACAGGACTACATATTGTATAATTCCATTTATATCATATACCCAGAAGAGGCAAATCCATAGAGAGAAAGTACATTAGTGATTGCCAGGGCTGTTGGGAGGAAGCATGTGCAGTAACTGCTTCATGGGCACGGAGTTTCGTTTTGGGGTAATGAAAATGTTCTGCAATTAACTGGTGATGGTTGCACAACACAGGGTATATATTAAAAACTAAAAGATATACCGAAACCCAACCTGAATTATACACTTTGAAATGGCTACTTTATATCACATGAATTATATCTTTAAAAAAAAAAAAACCCAAAACAGATGCACCTATGACACAAAGCGTTTCTGCCTGCAGCATGCCAGGTGTCTGCCCATCTTGCAGACACCCTGTCCTCACATCCAGAACACCTTGTGAGCCCTGGCCACAGGGATGGCACTGCACAGGATGAAGGTTTTTCGTTTTTTTGCTTTTTAAACAGAACTTTTATAATAAGAAAAACAAGGTCTTCAAAACTGCTAGGTAAAAATAATACAGTAACTTCTCACATATGGCCAAACCAATTGCACACCAGAGCACCAGGTGACCATAGTTTCCACATCAGAGGCATAAGCTCCAGGGTGACAGCATTTTCTTCAACCAGGTGTCTCTTAATCTACTCATACCAAAAAGAAAACTCTATGTGGAAAGCTGACACGTCTGCTGGGAATGACGGACAGCATGCTCAAGGCACAGCGTGATTCCTTATGGTGGCACAAGCCCAAGGGCACCATCTGTCAGCAGATGGGAAGCTGTGACTTAGGAAGGAGGAGACACAGGCAGGACATAGGACTTGGGGATGCACATCTTGGTCTGCTGGGCTGTGGAGCCCTGTCCACACTCAGCTTGCCCACTGGCTCCCTACCACCAACCACTGCACTCAGCTTCTGCCTCTCACAGGCTTCTCCCTCTGGAGGGAGTCTGCTGGCATGAAAAGCTGTGCAGGGTGGACCCACCCTGCCCACCTCCCCACCCTCCCCCGCTCCCCCAAAGCCTCCGCTTCTGAGCACTGCAGGTTTTGTAGAGTTCCTTGGTCTGCCTCTGAGAGGCAAGGCTGACTCTGCAGGGGACCAACTGCAGAGTTCTGGGGGAAGCCACCAGGACCCTCTGCTAATGGGATCAGTCCAGGGTCACTGCCAGGCTGGGATATGATGTCCCCACACACGGGGGAGGGGACTCCTGAGTCATGAACACCAATGGGGATACCCTATAACTGCAGGGTGGACTCCAGCCCCTCACACAGAGGGAGCACACCTCCATGAGTACTAAGTATTAACAGCAGGAGTGCAGGTGCCTGGTTTCTGTGTTGTTGCTATTATGTTCCAGCTCAGGTCAGACTTCCACAAGCAGCCATCCTGGAGGCCCCACAGCCAGGATCCTGATCTCTCTGACAAGACACCAGGTCACAGTGCCCCAGGTGTGAGGGACAGTGGGATCTGGGCACCTGCCATGCACCTGCCCCTGGGCTTCCACTGAATGATGCCTCCAAGGGGTCACAGCTGCTGACCTAATGCCCTGGTCTGCACAATATCTGGCAGCCTGAGCAGGGCCTGGGCCAGCACTCAGCATGACCTCCTGGACTTGGGGGCTGAGGACTCCCCAGAGTATAAGACCACCTGAGGCAGCCTTGCCAAACCAGGTCAGGTTCCACTGAAGGAGGCTATAATGGGTTGAATGATGCCTCCCAAAAAAGATATGTCCACCCTCCCCCGCCCCCCTGGAATCTCTGAATGTGACCTGGTTTAGAAAAAAGATCTTTGCAGATGTAATTAAAGATCTCGAGATGAGATCACCCCGAATAACCTGAGTGGGCCCTAATTCCAATGGCAGGTGTCCTTGTATGAGAGAGACAGAGGGAGGTTTACACAGAGGAGGCCCTGTGAAGATGGAGGCTGAGATTGGAGTGATGCAGCCACATTCCAAGGAAAACCTGGAGCCACCAGAACCTGGAAGAGGCAAGAAAAGATCCCCACCCAGAGCATTCAAAGAGCATAGCACTGCTGACACCTTGTTTTCGACTTCTCGCCTCCAGAACTGTGAGAATTTCTATTGTTTTAAGCTGCCCAGTTTGTGGTAGTGTGTTATAGCAGCCACAGAAAACTAATACTGAGACTGGTCCACTACCCTCAACAGAATGGGTTGGTGGTGCAAGGGTGGGGAACCTGTGGCCCCGGCCACATGTGGCCTTCTGGATCCTTCAATGCAGCCTCTTGACTGAATCCAAATTTTATATAACAAATCCTTTTAATAAATCCCCAGATTGTGGGAGCTCTCCTGAACCCTGATTATGGGAAGTCAGATGACTGTTTAGTGCCTAAAGAGAGGGTTGGGTGAAGCCAGGTGGTCCTGAAGCAGCAGCAGCCCCCTCTTAGCAGAAGGGGCCCTGAACTCATGGGAGGTGGGGGCTGAGAGACACCTGTTAGCCATCTGCACAGAGCACCTTCATAAGGGTCCCCAGGTGCCCTCCTCCCAAGGGGCTTCCTCTGCCTATCTGCTGCAACAAGAACCTGCCTCCCAGCACCAGACACAACAGGTGGAAACGGTGTGCTATGGCTGAGCCTTCTCACCTCCCAGTGCTGCCTCCAAACTACACTGTCCAACTACACCACCTGTACCTGGATGACATTCCAGCCATGGACCCAGGATCTGAGTCTGACCACAGCAAAGACAATCCAGGCTCTGGGTCTCAAGGCCCCAGGATCCCATCCCTAACCCTGCATTACAACTGTCCCAAGGTGTTCTGACAGTGACTTCTCATCTGCTCCAGGTGGGCATGCCCTGCATCCTGGTTGCTTGCCCAGCCTTTCTAATTGTCTTCAGGGCTGCCGATATTGAGGAACAAGACATGGAGCAGCCATCAAGGAGATAGAGGACTGACAGGTTAAGGTGTCCAAGGGTGAACCCTGCATAACCACAGGGCAAGGGCAGACCTGGGAAGATTAGTGATGTTCAACATCCTCATGAAGTCTGGACATGGGCCTGTGAGGTCTTATCAGCCTAAGAGGGTGCGCAGGGAAGTCCACGTAGGAGGCTTTGAGGTGTGCAGGCACAGGCTAACTGCCCAGCCCACAAACCTCACCCCCACTGACAGTCCCAGTGGAGACAGACCCTAGCCCCTATATTCTATTCCACATGTACACACAGCGGGAAGAACAGTGCACCACAAAAAGCAGAAGGAATGTCCTCTGAGTGCAAGCACAACTCCGTTCTGTGTCCATCCTCCCCACAGCGCCGTCATCCTCAAGGATTAGCAAGCGTCAGCATTCCCGGGACCTCAACTGTGTCAGCGTCGGAGAACAAGGCCCAACAAGACCCGGTTCTTATAGTGAGTGCATGAGGGGAGCGCAGACAAGAAAAGAAACGGACAAGGAGACAATTTAAGAGAGAAAGAAAAAGAGGTGACCATCAAACAAGAACATCGCGAGAGCGCTGGGAAGAGAGAAAGTAGCTTCTTCGGGCCTCACTGAGGATGGGACATTGAAGCCGAGTCTGGAGACAGGGAAAGGGGAACCGCAAGAGCAAAGGCCAGGAGGTGGGATCAGAGGCAGCAGAAAGGCGGGTGTTGGCCACGGCGAGAAGGTGGGCTTGATTCTGAGAGCTGTAAAGCACTATGATCGGTCCGGGGCTGGCGCCTCCCCTCGCGGGCCTCGATCACACCCGGGACCCGGAAGCAGGAGCCAGAACTACAGCAACCTGACCGCCCGGAACTGAAGGTTCCGCGTGCTGCGGCCAGTCCGGACCCAGAGCGAGGCAGGAAGTGAGCGCGGTCAAGCCTCCGCTCCGGGTCCCCGCGCGGGGGTGGGGAGTGGACAGGGGTGGCGGCCGCGCTAAGCGCCTGGAGGCCCCTGCCGCGCAGCCGAGGTCGCGGGTCCGCGCAGAATGCCACTTACTCGCTGGAGGTGGCCCACACTGGCCCCCTGGTCCCCGCCCCGCACGCCGCGCGGAGCCTTCCTCCAGCCTCTTCCGAACTGCCGCGGCACTGAGGAGTCGGGGCCGCCGCGAAAGCAAGTGGGAGTCCGCGCGGGGGCCACTGGGAAACGTAGTCCCGGCGCGTCCCACTCCGATGCTGATAAGCCAGCGGGGCTGGGAACTAGCACTCCTGCTTGTCCTCAACAAAGGCCGGCTACACCTAATAGGCGACACGCAAACCTGCGCTATCGCCAAGGAGACGGCGTCCTGGGTGTGCATGCGGTCCCGCCCACCCTGCCCCAGCAAAGTGTGCGATTGGTCATGAGGATGATTGATAGCTCTCTCTCTCAGTCATATTTCCAAGAGGTCCCAACCCGGAAACGACCTGTCATTCCCAGTCTCGCTTGAGTGGGATAGTCGGGGGTGGGGAGCGCCCGGGAGCTCTGCAGTGTCCTGGTGAGCCTGTGTCCTATTGTGTTCTACTTTGGATTTCTGTGTGAAGGACTGGGAAAGACTGAAAGGCTCTGGAGTGAATGTGGGGGCCTATGTTTCAGAGTTACCTGAGGACTCACAGCTTACCCTGAGGAAAAAGAAATTAGTCTACAACACTAATATGGTCTGTTGGATCAGGAGGTAGGTCCTTGATTCCCTAGGAGAAGTCTGGGTTTCCCCAGCTGCCTAAGGGGAACTGTCTTCTGGTTCCTAATGAGGTAATGAGCCTGGGAGGCTGGTAGGGATGGTCACCAAGGCAGAGATCTAGAGGGGCCCAGTGGGAACTATATTTGGGTAGAGAAACACTAGGTGTGAGGAAATAAATACAGAGTTGGGGAGATTGGTAAACTATAGGGCATGTGCCATCCTGGACAAAGGAGCAGTCATGGTTCCCTGTGTCTGGCTATACAGATGAGCAGAGCAACTCAAGAGCTGTAGACCTGTGTGCCTCCCATGCCAGAGTTCATCCTTAAAGCAAATACAGTTTTGTGTGCATTTACCTTATATCTCTTGGACCGTATCTTGGCATCCATCACCCCCTAGGCAAGAACTCAGGACTGAGAGAAGTATCCAGTAGTCCAGGGAAGTGGTTTTTGTAACCTGGCCAGGGTTTCTGGTCACTAACACATACTGCCTTTACTGGCTTTACAGTCCTGCTGCCCACAGGAGTGAACACAAGGGGATTGGGGGCGGGTATTTAACATAGCTGACACATCCAGTATTTAAGAAGAAGCTTGAGATCCAGAATCTTGTAGAGTCTGGTATTTGGCACCTATTACCAAAAAAAAAAAAAAAAATCACCATGTAAGTTCAGCACAATCCACATGTGAGCTGTTGCTGTTTCTTTATCTAACTCCCCTTCAGCCCCCAGACAGGGAGTCCTCTTCACAGAGAACTGGCTGAGACATTAACAGGAGTCCCTTTAAAGAGGGACCTGGCCAGGCATGGTGGTGAGCACCTATAGTCCCAGCTACTTGGGAGGCTGAGGTGAGAGGATTGCTCAAGTCCAGCCTGGGCACCATAGTGAGACCCATCTCTTAACAAAGAAGAAAAGAGGGGCCTGGGCTCACATCACTGAATATGGCATCAATAGCTACTATTGCTGCCACTTCTGCCCCAGGTGCCTCTTTTCTCTCCACAGCCCAGCAGGCTTACTAGTGGGGTACCTGGCAGAACCATTATTCCATCACTGGTCGTTCCTCACCCTGACCATAGCACCCTTGGCCTGCCAAAGATCCTTGAACTCTGCTGGCTGAACATTAGGCATTATAGTAGAAGCCCCACACATAGAAGTGTATCAAACCTTCACCACCAACAGAACCATTACTGGTGGAGACAGCCTTTGCAGATGTGGCATGGTGCAGAGGCTTATTTGTAAAGAGCATTTTTCTGTTCATGCACAGCAGAGTTCACAAGTGAGAGGACCCCATCTAGGGCCAGGCATTTGTGCAGGTCTTCAGGGGTAACTGCTCTTCCAGCATTGGAATACCCAGAGCAGGGAGAAGCCCAAAGCAGAATGACATGTGGACAGTCCTTCTCCATCACCAGAGTACTCATGGCACAGGGAAGTGACAAAGAAGAGCTAAGTGGGAAGACAATCCCACACAGCTCCAATCTCAGACAACTCCAGGCAGGCCATACCCAACAAAGCCCTTCAAGAGCAGTGGCTATGGGAAGGCCCTCATGAAGACTTTTGCCTTCTTCAACCACCTGAGAACCGATAATGAAAACAGGCTCTTTATTTTTTTTTTGAGTTAGAGTCTCGCTTTGTTGCCCAGGCTAGAGTGAGTGCTGTGGCATCAGTCTAGCTCACAGCAACCTCAAACTCCTGGGTTCCAACAATCCTTCTGCCTCAGCCTCCCAAGTAGCTGGGATTACAGACATGCGTCACCATGCCCAGCTAATTTTTTCTATATATATTAGTTGGCCAATTAATTTTTTTCTATTTATAGTAGAGATGGGGTCTCGCTCTTGCTCAGGTTGGTTTTGAACTCCTGACCTTGAGCAATCTGCCTGCCTTGGCCTCCCAGAGTGTTAGGATTACAGGCGTGAGCCAACGCGCCAGGCCTCAGAGCTTATTCTTATGCTCACTGAGCTTGAAGAGGTGGCTGGAAGGCAGTTGGAGGGCAGCTTCCCTGTGTTGGTCCCCTGGTGGCTCAAGAGCGAGTTGCACATGAAGGCCTTGCCTCAGTTGCCTTAGAGAAAGGCGTGCAGCTGTTGGCTGGTTGTTGGATGCGAATATGCTTGACCTGCTGCTGATTGGGGCTTAGACTCTAATGTATGTGAGTGCTAGACAGAATAATAGACCCCAAAGATGTCTACATCCTAATCCCTAGAACCTGTGAATGTTACCTCAAATGGCAGAAGGGACTTTGCAAATATGATTAAATTAAAGATCATGAGATGGGGGATTATCCTGGATTAATCAGGTGGGTTCTAAATAGAATCACAATGGTCCCCTAAGAGGGAGGCAGAAGAGCCAGAGTCAGAGAAGGAAATATGACAGAAGCAGAGGTCAGAGTGATGTGGCCACCGGACAAGGAATACAGGTGGCCTCCAGAAGCTGGTTTCCCAGCAAGGAACAGATTCTCCCCTGGAGCCTCCAAAAGGAACACAGCCCTGCTATATCATCGTCATTTTAGCCCCTAAGACTCATTTTGGAATTCTGACTTCTAAGCTGTAAGATAATAAATGCATGTTGTTTTACACCACTAACTTTGTGGTAATTTGTTATAGCAGCAAACAGGAAACTAATACAGTCTCCATAAGGTACTATGGGGTCTTTGATGTTCTTCAACTCTGGCCCACCTCCCTCTTGAACAGAGCTAAGGCAAGCCTCAGGTCCAGAGCCTCTGCCTTCAACATCATCAAGTACAATTTAGCCACTATCACCCTTCCCGGTATTTATGCCTGTGGTTCCCTTCCTCCGGCACATGGCTCTGGTTTTATATTTTGGGTCACGCTATCAAGTTACTGTTGTTTCCTTTTCAATAAATGAATCTAAGGAAAAACAAGTGAGTTGATGTAAATGAGTGGTTCTCAACCTGGGGACAGTTGTGCCCCTCAGGGGACACTTGGGGTTGTCACAACTGGGCAGGGGTGGGGGTAGGTAGGGAGTGTAACTGGCATTAGTGGATGGAGGACAAAGAGGCTGCTAAACACCCTGAAATGCATAGCACAGCCCCCACAACGAAATGGCAATAGTGCTGATGTGGAGAAACCCTGGTAAAAGAAAACCACAAGGTACAGGTGGTACATTCTAGGGGTGAGGACTGACTGGGAAGTACTGTATGTGGGCAAGGTGGAATGGGCTCAGATCTAAGTGAAAAAAGCCAGACACGAAAGGCCACATACTCTACAATTCTATTTCTGTAAAATGTCCAGAATAGGCAGATCCATACAGAAGGTATGACTAGTAGAAATTAGGCTAGCAGTTGCCAGGGGCTGAAGGGAAGGGAAAGAGAGAATGCAGTTAATGGATATGGGGTTGCTTTGGGGGTGATGAAAATGTTCTGGAACTAGACAGTTGTGATGGTTACAAGACTTTATGAATATACTAAAAAAACACTGAATTGACTTTAACATTATCTTATATGTAACTAATATCCTAATTAAAACATTAAAAGAAATAGAGTTGTTAGTGGACTCGTGGAGAAGGTGGGATTCAAGGCAAGACTTGAGGAGGGAGTGAGCCCTGGGTTCTCTTGGAAAGTGCAGGCCAGGCAAGGGGACAGCGATGCAAAGGCCCTGAGGGAGCCTGGGTGGCTGCACACACAGGAAGAGGAAGGAGTTAACAGAAGCCATATCCTGTGGGCAGAGTGGGCCACTGTGCAGACTTTATCTTTTCTGGTGAGTGGCACAGGGAACCACAGAGGGTGCTGAGCAAAGGAGGATGGAATTTGATTTAGGCTCTCATAGGCTCCCCTGGCTGCCATGGAGAAAATGGACATCTTCCTTTTTGGGCCCTGGCCTGAACCTCTGAACTTCTCTGCAGGGTTGTGGAGTGTCTGAAGCCAACAGGTGTCACATGTCCCAACCCTCAACACCCACATTCCCTGCTTCCACAGCCAGGTGTCCAGACAGAAACCCAGGAGTGAACTTGTCTCCATCTCCAGACCCACCCAGCCTGGTTAAGGGGCCAGTCACTTAGCAAACCCTACTATCTGTCTCCTCCTCCTTGTCCCCTGACCCTAGTGGAGGGGTCTGCTGCCTCTCCCTCCCTATTTAGCCTCTATGAAGGCCTCTTCACTGAGGTTGTCAAGTGGAATCAAAGGATGAAAAAGAAAGCCCACAGGGTTAAGTATTTCCAGCATTCAATTCAATGTGGCTGCCTTCTGAGACTATGGGCCATCTCTCTTTCTTTCTTCTTTCCTTTTTTTTTTGGGGGGGGGCAGGGTCTCACTTTGTTGTCCAAGCTACAGTGCAGTGGCATCATCATAGTTCACAGCAACCTCAAATTCCTGGGCTCAAGTGATCCTCCTGCCTCAGCTTCCCAAGTAGCTGGGACTACAGGCACGAATTACCACGCATGGCAAATTTTTCTATTTTTTTTGTAGAGACAGGGTCTTATTATGTTGCCCAGGCTACTCTCAAATTCCTGACCTCAAGTGATCTTCCAGCCTCAGGCTCCCAAAGTGTGGGATTATAGGCATAATACTTTGTGATCCTGTATATCTTTGCTGCATTTTCGCAGTAAGTAGGTATTATTTTGGGGAAAAGATATAAAATTGGAAGGTATCACATTTTTGCTGTCACAACAATTCAAACAACTCCTTGTCTTAACAGCTGGACTTGATTATCTTTTCCTGAGTAGCAAACCACCACAATACCATTTTATTATGCTCGCGACTGTATAGTTCAGCTCTATACCAACTAAAACTTCAGCTGGTGGCTCCAACAACTGGAGATGGCTGGGGTGCTGTGTTTGGAGCTTGGCGCACAGTGGAGCTCCACAATGTTTCCTGAATGGACAACCCATTTTAAAGATTAACTGAGGTCAGAAGACCCGGTAGGGTCCTTTGAGACAGTCAAAAGGAATGGTGAAAAAGCTGCCCTAGTCTGACTTTTTGTAAAGAAGGACCTTGAAAGGAACATTGCCCAAAAGTTGCAAAAGCCTCCAGGTAGCAAGAAGCCCCAGAAGAGAAAATGTTTTTTTTTTAAGTCATGGTTCAGATGGCAAAGGAGGAGCCTGGAGCCCGCTGCCTCCAAATATCCCCACAGGAGCCCTGGGAAAAACTGAAAGTGGAGATTCAATGGGTTCCAACCTGCATGGCCGGAAGTGGTCTGGTAGGGCCCCCTTCCCCCAACTCCTCTTGACCTACCCCCCTGCCAGCCCCTGTGGCGCCCAGCCAGACAGGCAGCAGTGGGGCAGCAGTGAGGCAGCTGGGGAAATTGAATGGTACTCAGTTACATTTAAATGGCAGGATCCTGGGACTGTGTTGCCTCATGGGTTTAAAATGGCTCTCCTGCTCTGTTTGATAGAAGCTTAGCAGGGGACTTGCGGAACCTGCAATCGGAGAGATTTGTAAATTTGTGTTAGTTTATCTTGGGTTCTTAGGAATGGCATCTGGATTCCAGACTACGGACTGATAACAGGTAAAGCCCTTGTCCACAGAATGAGCCTTAGAGTCTCAGTACAGTCTTAGCATATATATAGTTGCTGAGAGGTGTCCCACAGCCATGGGACATGGCTGTCAAAGCCATGGCATGTCAAAGCCATTGAACAATGTTGTGAGATGGCCTTTTTGCCCCAGGGAGAAACGGCTATTTTTGAGTTGTCTATTCTCAATCCTGCCACCCTTTTGCCAGCCAAAGAGAATGAACCTTTACGATGTGACTGTTTAGAGGTTCTGGAGGCTGATGGATCTGTGAGATTAGCCAATGCCAAAACCAGATTGGGATCTTTTTTACTGACTGGAGCAGCTTTTTGGACAAGGAGGGGCTAGATATGCGGTGATCACAGCAGGGGCACTATAAACTGAGACTTCAGCTGAACTGCAGTTATTGCGAAGAAGAAAAAGATAAACATTTCTACAAACTCTAAATATGCTCTTTTTTTCTTAATATTTATAAACACCTACGGCACCCGGTAATCCCAGACAGTCTCCCATCCAGGTACTAACAAGGCTCGACCCTGCTTAGCTTCTGAGATCAGATGAGATCAAGCATGTTCAGGGTAGTATGCCCATAGACTAAATATATTTTTGTGATTGTGCATGTTCATAGTGCCTCTTGAAAAAAAAGGCGGCTGGGCGTGGTGGGTCACTCCTGTAATCCTAGCACTCTGGGAGGCCGAGGTGGGCGGAGTGCTCGAGGTCAGGAGTTTGAAACCAGCCTGAGCAAGACCCCATCTCTACTAAAAATAGAAAGAAATTAATTGACCAAGTAAAAATATACATAGAAAAAATTAGCCAGGCATGGGGTGGGACATGCCTGTAGCCCCAGCTACTAGGGAGGCTGAGGCAGTAGGATCACTTGAGCCCAGGAGATTGAGGTTGCTGTGAGCTAGGCTGACACCACAGCACTCACTCTAGCCTGGGCAACAAAGTGAGACTGTCTCAAAAAACAAAAAAAAAAAAAAAGAAAAAAGAAAAGGCCATCTCCTCATTGCAGGAAATAAGAATATTAAGGAGGCCGGGAGTGGTGGCTCACGCCTATAATGCTAGCACTCTTGGGAGGCCGAGGCAGGCGGATTGCTCCAGGAGTTCGAAACCAGCCTGAGCGAGAACGAGACCCCATCTCTACTATAGATAGAAATTAATTGGCCAACTAATATATATAGAAAAAATTAGCCGGGCATGGTGGCACATGCCTGTAGTCCCAGCTACTCGGGAGGCTGAGGCAGTAGGATCACTTGAGCCCAGGAGATTGAGGTTGCTGTGAGCTAGGCTGACGCCACGGCACTCACTCTAGCCTGGCCAACAAAGTGAGACTCTGTCTCACAAAAAGAAAGAAATTGGTCAACTAAAAAAAATACATAGAAAAAATTAGCCAGGCATGGTGGTGTGTGCCTATAGTCCTGGTTACTCCGGAGTATGAGGTAGAAGGATTGCTTGAGCCCAGGCATTTGAGGTTGCTGTGGGCTAGGCTGACACCACGGCACTCTAGCCCGGGCAACAAAGTGAGACTTTGCCTCAAAAAAAAAAAAAATGTCCATTATCAAATGAGTATGGTGGCCTTGCCTGATTGCATTCTCATTTTCACATTGAAGGGGGAAACTGAGGTTTGGTGGGGCCTGTCAGCTTTTGAGGAAAAAGAAGCAGGGTGGAGGAATCCCACTCTGGACCCAGGCTGAGTGTGAGGATGGCTGCCCTGGTGACCTGTCTTCTGTCGGCCCCCACCCTCCTTGCTTCCTGACAACCAGCAGCCCCCACCCAGAAGAAGCCTTCTTAGCCCTTCCCCCAACCCCACAGACACCAGTGCCCAGGGTGGAAGGCAGGAGTGGCAAGGGCTAGCTATACCCTCATCAGAGGCTGAGGTTTGACTTCTGGCCCAGGCCAGCTAAGGGTGTGTGTCCTATCATGAGTTGTGATGGACCATAGTCCAAGGGGCCCACTGTGGGGAGACCTCAGCAATCTCTGGACAGAAATCCCCTTGGAATTGGGTTGGGAGCCTTCAGTCAGTGAAGAAACAACAGCTGCTGGGCATGAGTTGTGTGCATGCGTGGGGGGGTTGGGAGTGTGGTAGCCCCAGCCCACCAACTGTGACAGACAAAGACCACCTGAGACTGGGTCAAGCGGCTGGGCCCTTTGGAGTCTGGTTGGGGGACAGTCTCTTGGAGGCTGAGGTGGGTGCCAAGGGCTAGGCAGCCACATGTGATCCTGGAATCTGACTCAGTAGACACTACCCCTGTACATGCTGCTGGCATTGATGTGCGGTCACCACCTCTGGGCCTTCACCCACCAAGGCTGACTCCACGTACCAGTTTGGCTCACGGGTCTACGTCTAAGAGGCAAGGGACAGGCAGGGAAATGAGGGCAGGTCAGAGGCTGCACACACTCTCCACACTGGCTTCGAGAGTCATCAGGTGGGGCTGTAGAACGAGCAGGGGCACCTGCCACCATGCCTACCCCACTCACCGTTCCAGAACCCTCTCAGAGGGTTCTCGGGTCTGCCCGTAGCCAGGGCTGACCTGTTCACAGAGGCCCTTCTCTGAGCAGGAGGAGGGAATTGTATGCTGGGGGAAATTAATCTCCTTCAATTCCTGGCTTTGTCTTTTATCTCTCCTTTCAGCCTTTGGCCATAAGTCTACATTTCTGGTTCTTGGAGAGGTCAGTCCTGTTAGGTCTGGAGCTGAGAGAGAGAGAATGAAACACACGAACTCTCATGTGCAGCAAAATGCTACTTATTTTGAGCATTTGAGTACAGATGGGTGGAGGCGAAAAAGCTTCCACGAGCGAAAAGGGGAGAGCCTTGGATTTTATAGAGGGTTTCTCAGTGGGGAGTGAGCACCTGAGCCAAAACAGCCGCTGCAACAAAAATATTTTTTTCAAACAACCAATTTTTGGGACCCCTGGGTCAGTCTCATCCTACAGAGATAAGGGAGAGAGTAGCTCCGTCTTTAACAGCGGCGGGTAGGCATGCTGGCTGCAGATGTTAGTTAGGTTTACAACCTCCGAGGACTCTCCAGACCCCTGAGGCTATTGATTTACAAACCTCGGTTTTCCATTAACCGCATTCCGTCTCCTACATACTTTTCCAGTTCCCACCCGGAATAAACCTAACAAGTCTAGCTCAAATGGGCACCCCTGGGAGCCAGGTGCGGATACTAGGGTTCCTGTAATGGGCACCCTGAGGTGAGGGAGTTGCAATTCCTTGAGGCCCCGCCCATAAAGAACTCAGATAAGAAAAGCGCCCGAAGTGTCCCCACCCTCCCAAAGAAACCGCGCGACCTCTAACCCCTACTTCTCCCCCTACCCCAAGATGGGTCGCACTGCTCCTGGCTGAGGGTCTGGCTCCCACCGCCACGACCCCCGTCCTCTTATTGAGGCATCCTCCCCTCCCTCCCCGGACGCTATGACTGGACAATAGGCGGGGATCGGCGCGGAGTGACTGGAGGATTCCAGCCGGAAAACTGACCCTCCTGAGGCTCCCGGTACGCATCACACAGGGCGCGCGAGCGTTGGGGAGGGGCCCGCGCATGCGCACGACGACCCGGGGTCCTCTGATGGCGGTACTGGCCGCCAGAGGCTATTCCGCCAACCCAGACCCTCAGCGTATGCGTGCCTGTAAGACACACGTAACCGCGATGAGAAACCAGAGGGTGCCGAACTGACTATCTCCGGTCGAAACCCGCGGCTACTTGGGCGTGAGGTCAGCGGCCAAACAGGCGAGCGCGGACTGGACTTTGCCCCTATTAAACATGGAGGCCTTGGCGTCACGGAGATCTCTGCGCTTGTGCAAGCGCCCTCCATACTGGGCAAGCATTGAATGTCGGACATCCGCCCGCACGCTTGTGGAGCCTTCTGCAAGTGCGCATGCGCCTATGCTATACTTGGTCCATCTAGCGGAGCGATTGCCTTTACATCTTTGCTCTGGATTGGTCCGTAGGCTTACGGTGTCCTGTTTTGCACACGCTGTTGCCGTTGACCCGGAAGTTTTCGCCCCAGTTAAAAGCGACTGAGGGCGGCGTGCGGCCTCTTCCTGTCTGTGCCAGGGCGGCGCGTGGTTCCTCCGACTGATAGAGACGCCTCGGCTGTGTCCTCAGGTGAGGCCGCCGTGGGGTCTGGGGTCCGAGGGACCGACCAGGGTTTTCCGGGGAGCCACGGGCAGGCCCTAAGGCCCGGATTTTGCCTCATTGCGCCTTTCCTGTACCTTTCTCTGGAATAGGGACCGAGGAAACGGGCGCGGGCAAAGTTACCCAAGGCTTCTTGTCTGTACTCCGCCTTCTCTGTAGCTTTGCCGCGCAGCGAGTCTGGAGGATGCTGGTTTGGTTTGAACTCTGCAAATTTACACCGAGACAGGAAGTTTTCATATTTTAGCTACTTGTTGCATTTCTTTTTTGCTTTGTACACGTGGTCCACTTAGTAGGAGCCTTTAGAGCTTCCTTAATGTCTAATGGGGACCTTTGTGTTAATTGTGCCACAGAATTCTTAGGTAGGACCTTGATGCCACATAATGTTCCCACTATACGATTAAGGAAACTAAGTCCAAAGCACTTTGTTGATTCTCCCAGAGTTAAAGAGCTCATAAATGGCACGGCTGGAATTTGAATCCCAGGGGATGCAACGTTAGGGCTTTTGGTATCTGCTGAGCCATTATATTCAGGCAACAGCTGTTGACTGGGTGACTGTGAGGTGTTGGGTTCTGGTTGAAAGACAGATGCCTTTGCTAATAGCTGAGTGGCTCCTTTTCTAGGGCTCAAAATGATGTTCACAACCTTTCTTGGTCCCTCATAACTCCCCAGTTCACCACAAGGGTAGAGGTCAGCCTCAGAGATCAGAGAGTTGGACATGGTGTGCCTATGCCTAAGGCTGGCTGGGCTCTGACAGTTTTTTCTGCTCTCATGTTGTACCCAGGATGACGGAGTGGGAAACAGCTGCACCAGCGGTGGCAGAAACCCCTGACATCAAGCTCTTTGGGAAGTGGAGCACTGATGATGTACAGATCAACGACATTTCGCTACAGGTAAGGGGGACATGGTGGTTAGTCTTCTTGGCAGAGGATTGGGAACAGGTGGATTTTTCCAGGAGGGGGCATTTCAGACTTCTTGATTTCCTTCTAAGTCAACAGTTGAAGCCATGACAGGTAAAGAAGGGATCCCTGGACCGCCATACCTGTCACATCCACTCTTTCACATCCTGCCCAAAGGTTTCTACAGCTTTAGTCATGAGATGATTCATTCCTCAGAGGTAGCATCACATTCCACATGCTGCTGTTTTTTGTTGTTTTTGTAGCAAAATACACATAAAACTCTCTTTTTATTCTTTTTTTTTTTGAGATAGGGTCTCACTCTTGTTTCCCGGGCTAGAGTGCGGTGGTGTCAGCCTAGCCCACTGCAACCTTGAACTCCTGGGCTCAAGCAATCCTGCCTCAGCCTCCCAAGCAGCTGAGACAATCAGCTCACCTCACCACACCTGGAGAATTTTTTTTTATTTTTGGTAGAGATGGAGTCTCTCAGGCTGTTCTTGAATTTCTGACCCCATCGATCCTCCTGCCTTGGCCTTCCAGAGTGCTAGGTTGAATGTCTTCTAGATCTTAGCTTTTCCTTCATGGGTTGGTTTTGGGAGGTCCACAGACTTTTTTATTAAAGGGCCAGATAGTAAATGTTTTGGGCTTGGTGAGACATTGGATCTCTGTTACTTATTTTTATGGATTGTTTTATTTTTTGAACAACCCTTTAAAAAGAAATGAACTGTTCACTATCTCTTGGTCTGTTTAACAAATGTTCATTAAGTGCCTGCTCTGTTAGGGATGGGGTAAGTAAACGTGTAGCATGGGAGTTAACTCCATCATAAACACCCATGCTTCAACTGTGGGGCAAGCCCTTGCTAGGTCATTTGGTGTTTGCAGTTTTGTGCTGCATGGTGAAGCCCTGCCTGACCCTTCTACTTGCCTGTTTATGTGGGTGATTCTCTTCAGGGTAGATACTGGGCTTTAGTGTTAGTCTCCTATGTTCTTTTCCTGTCACTCTTTGTATTTGTAGAAACAAGTAGTTTGTATGTTCTCACATGCAAGTGACAGAATGGCCTTGGGTACATTTTTGTAATGGAATCATCAGTAGCAGTCTCCTTCAAATACAACTCCACTTGCCTGTAATCCTAGCACTCTGGGAGGCGGGCGGATTGCTCAAGGTCAGGAGTTCGAAACCAGCCTGAGCGAGACCCTATCTCTACCAAAAATAGAAAAAAATTAATTTTCCAACTAAAAATGTATAAAGAAAAAATTAGCCAGCCATGGTGGTGCATGCCTGTAGTCCCAGCTACTCGGGAGGCGGAGGCAGTAGGATTGCTTGAGCCCAGGAGATTGATGTTGCTGTGAGCTAGGCTAACGCTATGGCACTCACTCTAGCCTGGGCAACAAAGTGAGACTCTGTCTCAGAAAAAAAAAACTGTGGTTGTTACTGTGGGATGGTTGTTCCCTTCCTCCGGGGGTCACTGTACAATGTCTGGATACATTTGTAGCTGTCAAAACTGAGGCTACTGGCTTGCTGGATGCTGCTAAATATCCTACAGCCCCCCTTCTGGTTTAAAGTGCCCATAGTGGCCGGGTGTGGTGGCTCACGCCTGTAATCCTAGTACTCTGGGAGGCCGAGGCGGGCGGATTGCTTGAGGTCAGGAGTTCAGAACCAGCAAGAGCGAGACACCGTCTCTACTATAAATAGAAAGAAATTAATTGGACAACTAATATATATATAAAAAAAATTAGCCGGGCATGGTGGCGCATGCCTGTAGTTCCAGCTACTCGGGAGGCTGAGGCAACAGGATTGCTTGAGCCCAGGAGTTTGAGGTTGCTGTGAGTAGGCTGATGCCATGGCACTCACTCTAGCCTGGGCAACAGAGTGAGACTCTGTCTCAAAAAAATAAATAAAGTGCCCATAGTGCAGAGTTTGAGGAACACTATGTTAGAAAACTGAAATCATGGGCTCTAACCTCCTTAGATTTCCACCGTCTCTCTCCTTTTTTCAGTAATATGGTAAAGTCACTTGTTCAGGTTTTATTTTTTCATGGTGGGGCTTACATTCAAGTCCCCTGGGGAGGCAGACCAGAATTGCAACTGGCTGGGGGCTACCCTTCATGGGTGTGAGGTCCCTCTCCTCCATGGCCAGGGCTCATTCTGCTCCTGACCATTGTCTCTTTATCCCCCTTCCCTGCTGCCAAGGATTACATTGCAGTGAAGGAGAAGTACGCCAAGTACCTGCCTCATAGTGCCGGGCGGTATGCTGCCAAGCGCTTCCGCAAAGCGCAGTGCCCCATCGTGGAACGTCTCACTAACTCCATGATGATGCATGGCCGCAACAACGGCAAGAAGCTCATGACTGTGCGCATCGTCAAGCATGCCTTTGAGATCATCCACCTGCTCACAGGCGAGGTAGGGCTCTGGCCAGCGGGGGCAGGTTGTGCCTTAGTACATCCCAGAGTCCCATGGTGTATATGCCAGGCTTATCCCTTGTGTGGTGCAGCTGCCCTTGTTTTAGGCGTGAGGTGAATGGGAGAGGGATGTGTGGGGGCCAGAAGTCAGGCTCATAGCCCCCTTCGCTCCTAGAACCCTCTGCAGGTCCTGGTCAACGCCATCATCAATAGTGGACCCCGGGAGGACTCAACACGCATTGGGCGAGCTGGGACGGTGCGACGGCAGGCTGTGGACGTATCCCCACTGCGGCGTGTGAATCAGGTTGGCCTGTGGCTTGTGTGCATGGCACAGTGGAAATAGCCACCACGACTGGGTGGGGTCCTGCCTGGGGCAGAAAGGCTTGTTGCTCTCTGTGCGTTTTACTAGGAGCATCACTTCCTCCAGGAGGCCTTGCTGGGTTCCCACCCTTTCCAGGGCAGATCCAGGCTCTGGGCCCTCTTCTGGGCTACATTTGGCTGAGGTCTAGTTTTCTTTGAGTGTTTTCTTTGGGTGTATAGTTTTACACTGTGTACATTTGTGCATGTGCTTTTTTTCCTTGGGCCATTTGAGAATCAGTTGCAGACATTCTGACAATTTTCCTTGAACACAGTGAACTCTTAAGAGCTATGGAATATTGAATTAATCATTGTTCCATTCACACATCTGTCCCCAGCATGGCTTTTATAGCTGTTCCTGGTCAATCTAGAGTCCAGGTCAAGAGCATATATTGCGCCCCTTCCTTTTTTTTTTTTTTTTAATCTGAGACAGTCTTGCTCTGTCTCCTGGGCTGGAATGCAGTGGCATCATCTTAGCTCACTACAACATCAAACTCCTGGGCTCAAGCGATCCTCCTACCTCAGCCTTCCAGGTAGCTAGGACTCTAGGTGTGCACCACCTCACATGGCTATTTATTTATTTATTTTTGTAGAGATAAGGTCTCACTGTATTGCCCAGGCTATTCTCGAACTCTTGGCCTCCCAAAGTGTGAGGATTACAGGCGTGAGCCACCATGCCTGGCCCGACGTATTGCATTTTGCTGTCACAACCAGTCTCAAGTCTGTCACTGGGGACCCAGTGCAGCCTGTGTGTGTCTCTGGACACTTGCTTTTTCAGCCCTCTGATCCCAGATTTGGCACTATGCCGCCTTCCCTTATATCTTAGAGCATGCCAGCCAACACATCTGTTGAGGGTGGGCCAGGGTACTGGAGGACCAATCTGTTGGTAGCCTTAGCATGACCCCTGTACTTCCTAGGCCATCTGGCTGCTGTGCACTGGTGCCCGTGAGGCTGCCTTCCGGAACATCAAGACCATTGCTGAGTGCTTGGCAGATGAGCTTATCAACGCTGCTAAGGTGGGTGGAGATGCGGGGGGCAGGTCACAAGTTGGGCATTTGGTGAGGGTTCTCCAAAATTGAGAGCTAATCATCTGCCTCCTTGCAGGGCTCCTCCAACTCCTACGCCATTAAGAAGAAGGATGAGCTGGAACGTGTGGCCAAGTCTAACCGTTGATTTCTCGGCTGCTGCCCAATAAACCTGTCTGCCCTTGGGGCTGCCCTGCCCACCTGTGCTGTTGTCTGTCTGGTGGGGGGCAGCACTAGAGGGGGCAGGATAGCCCTAGTGGCCTTTGTAGCTGCATTGGCCTGTGGGGACCTTGAAGCACCACTGACTCAGAACCACGGCACCTGAGGGCTAGCAGGTGGGCATAGTGCAGGCTAGGCCACCCAGGGTGTCCTAGCAGGTGCTAGAGATGAGGGGTTTGACAGTAACCTCTGAGGACCTGGCCCATTACTCTTTGAGGAGCTTGTGTACTGGTCAGGTCTGGGTGGCAGCAGACCATCCTGAGATGTTGCCTGAAAGCAGCCCCAGGAAGAAATAAAGCTGTAGTGTCTGGACCACAACCATTCCCAGCCCCTTGTCCAGCGGCTGGTCAGTCCAGCTGTCCACTCCCTGGCCTCCAGAAGTCCCACCCTCTCCAATTGTGGACTGGCTTTACTCTGGCCAGGTTGTCTCTCCAGCCACACTGGTTGTGGTTGCAGCCCAGCCCTGTACATCTGTTACCCTGAACATGACAGGTTACCCCTCTCTCCCATTCAGAGGTGCCAGGCTGCTGGGGACAGGTTGGGACCCACCCAGGGCCATAAGTGGTGACTCCCTACTGGGGATTCATCAGATTTGGAAGGGTGGGCTGTGTCCATTCCCACCCACCTTGTGTCATCACCTTCCTACCACCCCCAACATCCGGCCCAGATCAGGTTTGGTTATCCTGGCAAGACTGCCCAGGGGGTGGGGCAGGTAATCAGACCAGTCTGGCGGGTACATGGGAGGGCAGCCTCAGGTTCAGTGCCCTCCCCGGGGGAGGGGCACTGAGCTACCCAGCCTCAGGTAAGCCAGACAGGCCAGAACTGGAAGGCACTCGACACTGGCCAGAGGGAGGTGGCATCCACAGGTAGGAAGAGTCCTGCAGGCCGGCTAGGGTCTCATTCTGGAGAGCCCTTGGTTCTGGGCTTCTCTACAACTCCCCCACGCTGGGTTCTGTCTGCCCAGCTCTCCTTCCTGTCTGCTCCTCCCCGGGTTGGATCCTCCCTAGAGTTTCCATCGCTGTCCTTTCTGGAGCCACTCAGGTCTTCCCCATCTCCACGTTGAGCTTAGATCTGTGACCTTTTTTGTCTCTAGGGCATCCCCTAGGTTTCCAGTTCAAGATCTGTGATCCCTCCATCTCTGCTCCTTGGTGCTAGCTGCCCCTTCTCTGGGGACTCTTCTCTGTGCCGGGTGATCCTCAAACTCCAGCCTGGAGTCGCCACTGATCTCAAACCCTGTCCACACTTCCACCGCAGCCTCCCCTGCCTGACTGCCTCTCGCTGCAGGTCCGGCCTGGATGCCCTGCCCTCGGCCCCCCTGGCTCCGCCGCCCCCGGCCCCCCCAGGGCTCTGGCCCCAGCTCCCCAGGCTCGCTCTCTGCACCCCACTCCCCGGCCAGAGAAGAGGATGAGGAGGCAGACGGCATCCCGGGCTCAGGCCCCATCCTGACCCCCGCTTCCCCGGTGGAGTGCCTCATCTGCGTGTCACCCTTCGATGGCCTGTTCAAGCTGCCCAAGCGCCTGGACTGCGGCCACGTCTTCTGCCTCGAGTGCTTGGCCCGCCTGTCGCTGGCCACTGCTGGCGGCGGCGACGCAGTAGCCTGCCCGGTGTGCCGCGCACCCACGCGCCTGGCCCCGCGCCGCGGACTGCCCGCGCTGCCCACGCAGCCCGGCCTGCTGCCCCGCGACGCGCGCGCGCCGCTGCCCCGCCAGGGCTCGGTGCGCTTCGACCGGCGCCGTGGCCTGCTGTACCTGCGCCCGCCGCCCGCGCCCGGGCCTCGCAAGGTGCGCGCCGCGCCGCCCCCGCCACTGCGCCTGGGCCGCCCGCTGTCGCGCCGCCCCAGGCTGGACAGCCCGGCCTGGGCCTTCAACGCGGCTGTGGCCCTGGCCGTGCTGGTGGCCGCGGGCCTCGTGGTCTCCGGCGTCTACATCTTCTTCCTCATCCCGCACGCCGCCTCCTCGGGCCCCGCACGGCCCCAGCTCGTGGCGCTCGCCCCCGCGCCTGGCTACTCCTGGCTCCCCCCGCGGCCCACGCCGGGAACGCCCTGGACCCCGGGCTGGATGCCTCAGCCCTCAGGCGCTGACTCGGGCGCTGTCCACACGTCGGCTGCCGAAGACGCGCTGGAGCCGGAGTTGGGCCCCGGGGACCCAGCGGAGGCCGAGGGGACGCTGGATGGGCCGTCGGACCGCACGTGGGGGACAGAAGCAGACCCGGGCTGGGCCCTGCTGGTTCGGGGCGGGAGGAGGGTGTGGGGGCCACAATAAATGTGAAAGCGTTTCGGACTCTGTCTCCTGCCTGGACCTGGGTGTCCCCCTGGGGGGGCCTTAGCAGGGTGCACAGCAAGCGCTCATTTCTCCAAACAAGGGCCTGGAAGGGCATCCCTGGCATTGTCACCCTGGGGCAGGGACCCTCTCAAGAAGCAACCACCGCCGTCATCCCACAGGGATCATCTGGGAACACCTAGATCCCCCTTGAAGTCCAAGAGGTCACCTCTGACCTCAGTTCTCTTGGCCGTCCCGCCAGTGTCCTAACCGTGATGTCTGCGAGGGTCATAACAAGGGATGCTCTGGACCCGTCTCCGTGGGGTCTGGCTGGAAGGATCCCTGCTCCCCAGCCCTGCAGGAGTGCAGGTGGGGACCTTCCCCCCACCACGTTCACACAGATGCCCGGTCAGGGGCCCCCAGCCCTGAACCTGGAGCCCCAGTCACTGCCCTGCAGAGTCCTGGGGGAGCACCCTCCCCCACACCAGAGCCCAAAGTCCAGGACTGCCCATCCTCTAAGTTTGCCAGCTGCGGGCTTCCCGTTTTTGGAGAGCAAAGCTGCCACCACTCATACCGCTGTCATGTTGCTCCCCACTGGCCCATGGCAGGGACAACCCTGCCCTCACCCCAGTCTGTGGACTTAGTTCTGTCACTCTGCTGTCCAGGCTGGGCTGGATCCAGCTGTCTACATGCTGATCTTGGATGTATACTCGCCAGCCTCCACAGCTTGCTGGGGGCGGGTGCTTGGGCTGGAAGAGGCAGGGATGGCCTAGCCAGGACTGGGGAGGCCCTTGATTCTAAAAAATGAGCTCCTAACCCCATCCTAAGTCCCCAACTGCTTTGGGAGCCTCGACTTCGCCCTGATCATGGCTTCTTAGATCCTCCCAATATGCTATGCGACAGTTGTGGTAGTCATGGCTCAGAGAGGCCAAGGTCACCCCTGGGTCAGAGGCACACAGCGTGGTGGGGCATCCTGGATCTCACTAGCTGGCTTCAGGTGTCCTGGGCCTTCTCTCTGCCTACAGGAGCCCCCCATCACCCCAATTAATTTCTCGAGGCTAGTTACTTCTCTTCCTCCTCCAGGACTCCATCTGCCCTGCTCAGCCTCCCTCTGTGCCCCCAGCCAAAGCCTGGGTCTTCCCAGAGGACAGCAGCCTCCAGGGAAGGTGGCTCATGGGTTCCTGTCCTCCTCTCAGAAATCTTCCTGGGTTAGTCACAGGGAGCTAGAGGGCAGGTGCCCTCTGTGCAGACTGAACACGGGGGTTCTGTTTCCTCTCAGGCCCTGGAGCTCCCATCCTGCCTCACCTAGCCCAGGAATGGGGTGCTGTGTGTAGTGGGTGGGCACCCAGCATTGTCCAGAGAGAAATGTGATGTCTATGCAGCTGGAGGCTCCTGTTTGATTTGTTTATATGAGTGTCCTCAGCACCCAGCATACAGTGTATGCCAAAGAGTTACTGGGGAGTGACAGCATTACAAGTGACTGAGAGGCAGCTTGGGAATGCAGCCTGGGCCCAGGCATGTCTGTGGAGCTAGTTCTGGTGTGAGCTGTTGCTTCCAGGTGGAACACCAGAGGAGCAACATTGGGAAGACCAAGGGTGTGTCTTCTCAGACTAGTTCTTTGCCCAACCCAGGTGCTGTTGTTACCCACAGGGGCTGAGACCAGTGCGCTGGGTCACAGGTCAGCCACAGCCCAGCCTCACAGTGAGGGAACCTGGTGGGTCATGAGCAGGATTGGTGGTCTATTAGTTTTCTCTGACTGCTGTAACAAATTACCCACAACTCAATCCCTTAGAACATGCATAGTTATTATATTACAGTCCTGCAGTGCAGATATCCAAGATCAGTTTCACTGGGCTAAAGCTGAGGGGCCCACTGGCTAGTTCTTTCTGGAGACTCTAAGAGAGAATCCATTCCTTAACTTTTCCAGCTAATAGAGCAGGATTCCTTGCTCCTGACTCCTTCAAAGCCAGCAGCCCAGCATCTTCAGATCTCTCTGTCACCCTCCTGCTGGAGCTCTTTCACTTTTAAGGACACAATGAGAACATTGGGCCCACCAAGATAATCTAAGATAATCTTGCATCTCAAGAACCTTAATTTAATCACATCTGCAAAGTCCGTTTTGCCATGTAAGGTAACAGATCTGCAGGCTCCAAAAAATAACAGATTTATTGAAATGTAATTTACATAACATAATATTCACCCATTTAGATGGTACGATTCAATGATTGTTAGCATATTCGCACAGTTGTGCAACCATTACCACTATCTAGGTCCAGAACATTGTGAAAAAGAAACTTCTTACTCTGTCAGGTCCCATTCCTCCCTTCCCTCGGCCCCTGGCAACCGTACATCTATTTTCTGTTTCTATTCTGGACATTTCATATCAATAGAATCAAATGGTGTCAGAAATCCATATTTAAAGAGGAAGTAGTGTTTAGATCTTTCTTCCTAGCTGATGGAGTCAACTCATGGGTGTGGTGTCTCGAGCTGGAGAAATGTCACTTGTGAGTCCTGGTCCTTGTTTTTAGCCCCTCTGAAATTTAGTGCCCACTCAGGAAGAGGGGATGGGGGATACACTTGGCCTTGGCCTTATTGTAATTAGCCTATGCTCCCTGCTGTTGGTGCTGGTGGGCTGTGAGAGAGATGTAGGTTTCTGCTGGACTTTGTGGAGTCACTTGAGAGGCAAGACACAGGCTTGTCCCTGACTGGCCTTCTTACAGACTCAACATCTGTCCAGGTGCCCTATGGGCCTACCCAGTCTCTGTCCCATGCTGACATTTCATTGCATTCTTCATGATTTATCCCAACGAGCACCTGTACAAGTGCCAGGCTCTGGTCTGGGTACTGAGGATGCAGCAGTGAAAAAGGTCACAGATATCCCTGCTCCCATTTTTCAAGTTCTGTGGCAGAAATGGAGAATAAACAGCCAAATGGGGCATTAATAGGGCTCTTTAAGTCAAGGCTAAGTGTCCTACAGAAGACAAAGCAAAATAATGTGACAGATTCACAGAGATCCAACTTAGATAGTGGAGTCAGTGAGTAGGAACACAGATGCTGGAAAGATAGGAGGGAAGAGCCTGCCAGGCTGAGGAAATGGCAAGTGCCAGGGCCCTGAGACAAGGACAGGCTTGTCCTATGAAGGCCACAGTAAGGAGCAGAGGGTGGTTGGAGGAGAGGTGGCCAAGAGGGCACCCAGCATTGTCCAGGGAGAAATGTAACTACTGTGCCGCTAGAGGCAGAGGCTCCTGTTTGATTTCTTTACATGTGTGTCCTCAGCACCCAGCATACAGTGGGTGCCAAATAGTTAATGGGGGTGACAGATAAGCAAGTAGGATAGTTGCTGCTGTTAAAAAGCAGACAAACTTAGTGAAAGCTCTCAACTTAGTGAAATGTGGGGTTTTTTTCTTTCTTTTTCTTTTTTAAAGTATTAAGTAGGAAGTCAGTTTAGGCACTTTATGAACTTCATGTTCCTTTTTTTTAGACAGGATCTCATTCTCTTACCCTGGGTAGAGTGCAGTGGAGTCATTGTAGCTCACCCCAACCTCACATTCCTGGGTTCTAGCAATCCTCCTGCCTCAACCTCCTGAGTAGCTGGGACTACAGGCGCTGGCCACCACGCCTGGCTAATTTTTGTTTCCGTTTTTAGTTGCCCGGCTAATTCTTTCCTTTTCTCTCTTCTCTTCTCTTTTCTTTTTTAGTAGAGACGGGGGTCTCGCTTTTGCTCAGGCCGGTCTTGAACTCCTGATCCTGACCTCAAGCGATCCTCCCATCTCGGTTTCCCAGAATGCTAGGACTACAGGAGTGAGCCACCGCGACCTGCCAACCCTATCCCTTTAATTCCCACGCAACCTGACCTGCATTCCACAACCCACTATAAAAGCCCTTGTCCTTAGTTTAGGAGACAAATTTGAGATTGTTTCTCCCGACAGACATCTTCTGTATTAAAATTCCTTTCTTCCTTGGCAATCCTCCTTGTCCCAATAATTGGCTTTTTGTGCAGCTAGTAACAGCACCTAGGCTGGATCCCTATGTGTGTTAGGTAACAGACCTTTCGTGGTATCTCACACCTGTGTGCATCCAGTGGCCCGTAAGTCTCCCACATTGTGGGGCACCGAAGACTCAACACATCTAAAATACAACAGCTGCTGTTCCCCCCACACCTCCTCCTCCTGCCCGGGCCCCCGGCTGCTGGTCCCCAGCTGCTCACTGAACTCTGTCCGGGATGGTTTCCTGAGCCTCGGTCTCCTAACCCATAGAGCGCACTCAGGCCAAGAGCGATTATTCTGGAGGCCCCGGCGGACACTCCCGCGCGGCGCACCCCTCTACGGCCGGGGACGCGGGGCCCCATGTCCTGCAGACGACTTGCCGTTGTCAGGGCGCTTATAGGTCACGGAACTCCCCCGACGCCCGTGCCTTCTCCACTCCGCATTCCTCGGGCAACCTCCGGTCCACAGTCCGCGGCTCAGCCACCCCACAACTTCCTGTGGTTCCCAGGCAACTGCCACAGGCCGATGCCGGAAGTCCCGTCCTTGCCACGCGGCCCGCCCCGGAAACTCCCCTTTCCTGGGCCGTCATTGGTCACGTCTGTACGGACGCACGGCGCGATATCTCATGGGAAATGTAGTTTATGCGTGACCTTCAGTCGCCAGCAGCGCATCCCCGTATCGCCTTGGTAACCGCCCAGCCGCCCGGCAAGGGGGCAGGGAAATGACGTCATAGTGTGCGGGGCGAGGCTGCTGGGGTCCTGGCCTGGGGAGTTGGGTGAACCTTCCGGCGTCGCCCTGGGCTTCCTGTCTCCGCGGCTGCCGGGTGGGTCTGAGCGCTGCGAAGGCTCCGCCAGGCCGGGGTGACTTCCCTGGAGCGCCCCCAGGCGAGGTGTACTGTAGGAACCCTCACCGCCCTCAGCAGGCCGGGGCCCCAGCGGCGGGTGATCCATCTTCCTGAGACTCGGTGTCACTCGCTAGGCTCCGGCCTCCACACCCGCCTCCCTTCCCTGTCCGCCAGAGGCGGCCCCTGGTCCTCAGGCGTATTTCACCCCGCGGGGGCGAACTACCTTCGCAGAGTCCGCGGTAGCCGGAGGTTCCCGCGCCTAGGCAGGCGGTGGCGGTGGCGGTGGCGGTGGCGGTGGCGGTGGCGGTGGCGGTGGCGGTGGCGGAGACGCGTTTCGGCGGAGTCCGCCGGCCGACCTGCAGGTTCCAATGGCCGAGGCGGCGCAGGTGAGTAGGGGGTACCCAGGAGAAGCAAGGAAAGGCGTGTCAGGTGAAGGGACAAGCAGAGCTAGGGGGCCTGGAGTCTCGGAGATCTGTGTGTGGTACTGGGCGGCTAAGGAATAGGTCCAGGTGGGGAAGACTTCATGCAGGGCTTGGGGACGTCTTTGGCAGTGGGGCCATTAGAGATGTGGGTCAGCACTGGTACAGGATGGGATCGTGGCTGCTGTGCTAGGCAATCTGGAGACATCATGTGCAGAACTAGGCAGAGCCCAGGGAATTGCGTGTAGGGCGAGCTGGTGAGATTGTGCTGGGGGTGTAAACTTGTAAGCATGCTGCCCTACAGTTATGTTCCTGGAGGGCCGGAAGGCAAACTGGAGGGCCCTGGGACCAGGTACTTGAGGCCTAAGGGAGAATGGTGAGGATCGGTTTGGTTGCATCTGAGAGGTGATCTCTGGGACTCGTAATTGGCAGGCAGGAGATGGGGTGGGGCCTGGGCGCTTGGTCCTGCGTGTAGATGGCACTAGTCTGGTCACCAGCCTTCTGTTTCTGTGGGCTGGACACAGTGTCCACTAGTAACACTGGAGGCATCAATGACACCAGAAGCTCTGGTATTCCTCTGAGATGGAGATCTTGGAAGAAGAGCGATATAAGGGTATGTGTAGGTATGTTGTGGGGTAAGGTTGGGAAAGGGTAAGATAATGTCAGTAAGAGATGTGACAGGATCTTGAGACACAGGTCAAAGGTCTGGATGTGTCCATCATCTATATTTTGGTGTTTTTTTCCTGCCCACCACTGACCCTAAGGCTCAGTTGAATCCATCATCGCAGGGCCTGGTGATGTTTGAGGATGTGGCTGTGTATTTCTCCCAGGAGGAGTGGGGTCTCCTTAGTGTGACCCAGAAGAGCCTATACCGTGATGTGATGCTGGAGAATTTTGCACTCATTAGCTCCCTGGGTAAGTCTCATACTCTTCCCCAGCAACTGACCACCTCTGCCTTTTCCCCATGCAAAGTTCTGTCTGTCCCAAAGCTGGAGCACACTGCTTCCTTGCCACTTTCTATGTTGTAGGTGTTGTGGGTCCTGGAACTGGCTATGTACTCTTTCCCTGTCTTTGAGCAGCCCAGTTATCAGCTTCAACACCTATTTCCCTACGACCTAGTAGAGCAGGGTTTGGGGGTCAGATGTATCTTAGTTTGCTCACTAAATCCCAGACAGCTTTGCCTCTGTCTGGCCTTGTGACTGCTAAAGACTTGGTTTGTCTGTGTTCCAGGTTTTGCCACCTTCTTCCAAAAGAAATTTTATAGGGCCCTACCTGAACATGAGCCATGAATTTGAATCAGTAGATCAAGTTGGGGAGTATTGTCATCTTAATATCAAGTCTTAGGTCAGTGAACATGGGACATCTTTTCATTTATTTAGCTCTTCAATTTTTTCTTTTTTGGAGAGAGTGTCTTGTTACCAGGCTACAGTGTGATGGTGTCATCATAGCTCACTGCAACCTCAAAATTCTGGGCTCAAGAGTTCCTCCTGCCTCAGCCTCCTGAGTAGCTGGGACTACAGGCGTGTACCACCACATCCAGCTCAGTTTTGTATATTTTGTAGAGACAGGGTCTTGCTCCTTTGTCAGGCTGGTCTCGAACTCCTGACCTCAAGCAGTCCTCCTGCCCCAGCCTCCTGAAGTGCTAGGATTACAGGCTTGAGCTACCACGCCTTATGTCAGGAACTATTTTGCAATCAGATTTTGCTGGGGCTAGACACATGCCTCTTCACAATGCTCAGCTGTCACAAGCAGCCAAGGCCCTACTGAAACCCTTTTTGCAAAGGAGTGACCTGGAGACCCCAACTCTCCTCTCTGCACCCCATCTTGTGTCCTCATCTCAGTTGGGGTCTTCTCTATTCTGTAGTCTGGTGGAACACTGTTCAGCTGGGCCAGCCCTTCTTCACCCAGACCTTTTCCAATAACCTCCTAACAATTCTGTGAAGTCTTTTCTGGGTGTGTCTGACATGCACTGGTGATGAAGGTACTTCCTGCCTCCAGGCCAACTCTCAGTAACTGACTCTTCTCTACCTTCAGGTTTTCTGTGTAGAATAGAGAATGAGAAAACTCCTCCCAAGCAAGTGAAGAGCTGCAGACTTCACCTCTCAGAGAACCTTTTCATGTGTGGAGAAACTGAGGATATCTTAGGTCTCATCCAAAACCAAGACACCTATAGCAATAGAAAGCCAAACAGGAGCACTGAGCATGGGGCAGCCTTCCCACCCAGATCTAGCCATGGTCAGCAGCAGGGAGCCCATGCTGCTCGGAAGCCCTTCAAATGCAGTGACTGCGGGAAGGTCTTCCTGAAGGCCTTTACTCTCCTTCACCACCTGATAACTCACTCTGGAGAGAGAACCTTTAATTGCCCAACAGGCAGAAGTGCCTTCAAGGAGAAATCAACTCATATTAATCACCAAAAAATTCACAATGTAGAAATATCTCATGTGTGCAACGAGTGTGGCAAGGCCTTCAGTTACCCATCTAAACTGAGGAAGCACCAGAAGGTTCACACGGGCATAAAACCTTTCAAGTGTAGTGAATGTGGGAAAACTTTCAACCGCAAAGATGCTCTTGTTCTGCACCAGAGGATTCACACTGGAGAAAGGCCTTATGAGTGCAGCAAATGTGGGAAAGCCTTCAGTGTTCTGTCTACCCTCATTCGGCACCGGAAAGTTCATATTGGAGAAAGGCCCTATGAGTGCATGGAATGTGGCAAGTTCTTTAAATATAATAATAGTTTCATTCTTCACCAGAGAGTTCACACTGGAGAAAGACCTTTTGAGTGCAAGCAATGTGGGAAAACCTACGTGACCCGTTCTGGCCTCTATCAGCACTGGAAAGTTCACACTGGAGAACGGCCCTATGAGTGCAGCCTATGTGGGAAAACCTTCACTACCAGGTCCTACCGCAACCGGCACCAGCAATTCCACACTGAAGAGAGGTCCTATGAATGTACAGAATGTGGGAAAGCCTTCAAACATAGTTCTACCCTTCTTCAGCACAAGAAAGTTCACACTGGAGAGAGGCCTTAAGAGTTCAGGGCATGTGGGAAAGCCATTAACCACTAGGACCTTGTTCATCACAGGTCTCATTCCAGAAAGGAGATTGAGGAGAGTAGCCTCTCTGAAAGGGCCATCTGAAAGAAGCTAAACCTTGTTCATCCCAACATGTACCCTGGGAAGAGTCCCTGTGTGTGTCAGATGTGTGGGAAGCTTTCAGGAGATACGTACTCTGACCTGCCCAGGGCTGTTGGCAGTGTTGTGTCACTACCAGTTTGTGACATAGGCCATCCCACCTCTCCCACTGGTAGGTCCCCACAGTGTGCATCTGTCAGCCCAGCAAATTCAGGGATGGAGAGAATTATGAATGGTGGAACCCCTAACAGGCCTCATTCTCTCCTTCCCTATCCCTGATTGGTTTAGGTGTGGACATGACCCAGCTCTGGCCAAGAGGAGACAAGCCAGTGTCTGCTGGGGGATTCCTGGGAAGGTTTACCATTTTCATGGACACTACACATGGTACTTGTCATGCCCCAGCAGACTGTCTCATACTGCTCTGGACTGTGTGGTAGTAGTGAAGGCTTTACTATTTAAGCTACCTATAATATTGGTGGTTCTGATCCCTGTGTGTGGAGGGATTGAGAACCATGAATAGAGGGAATGGCTTTTGTGTAGGTGGGTCCCTCACGTTTTTCTGCCTCAGTGGGTACAGCAAGATGGCAGAGAACAGCTGTAGTAAAGGTTGGCCTAATTTGCATTGGTACGTGAGTCCTCCAGGGAAAGACTTGTGATCTGGATGTCAGGCTTGTTTGTGGGTCCAGAGCTCACCTTGGAGGAGGAACTTGGTGTGAGATATTCTGTGTGTCTAGGGACAGCAAAAGTTGGGTCTTTTGTTCCCAGGGAATGTTTCAAAACCTCCAGCAATGGTCAGAAGAAGGTGTTTTCAGAATCAGCTCAGAAGCCATGTCCTCTGAAATCTAAAACGTAGGTAAGTTCTAGACTATAAGACCTACACGGCCTGTTGAGCAGAGTAAGTAAGTGGGCACAGAAATAGGGAGAGTAGGCCGGGCGCTGTGGCTCACGCCTGTAATCCTAGCTCTTGGGAGGCCGAGGCGGGCGGATTGCTCAAGGTCAGGAGTTCAAAACCAGCCTGAGCAAGAGCGAGACCCCGTCTCTACTATAAATAGAAAGAAATTAATTGGCCAACTGATATATATATAAAAAATTAGCCGGGCATGGTGGCGCATGCCTGTAGTCCCAGCTACCCGGGAGGCTGAGGCAGAAGGATCACTCGAGCCCAGGAGTTTGAGGTTGCTGTGAGCTAGGCTGACGCCACGGCACTCACTCTAGCCTGGGCAACAAAGGGAGACTCTGTCTCAAAAAAAAAAAAAAAAAAAAAAAAAAAAAAAAAAAAAAAAGAAATAGGGAGAGTAGTAGTATGGAGCAGGGGTTTGGTGAACTAGAGGGCATGAGCCCATTCAAAAGAGACATCCATAAATGTTCCAGCAGCTGTGGTTTCATGGGGTGAGGATTCCAAAATGAGTCAGGATATACAGACCTGTTATTTGTGACAAGGTCATTGTTAGCTAATAATCTCCATGTTTACTGGATTCCCGCATCCTCCCTGTGCTGCTCACCTCATGGCCATCATCCTGGGACTGAAAGAAGATCCTGAAATCCTAAGGTGTGCCTGTGTGACCCAGCCAGTGCTCCTGGTGTCTCTGGGTGCTGTGGCCTTTGTCGTCCAGTTTTTGCTGCCACAGTGGCTGGGCTCTCCCTCCAGGACTCAAGGGAGAGAGCTGGGGGATCAATATGTGGATCCAGATCTGGTTTGTGGGACCTCTTGACATCTAATAAAGACTTATATCCCATCAGGAAAAAAAAAAGTAAAATTTTTTAAAAAATTTGTAAGCCGGGCGCGGTGGCTCACGCCTGTAATCCTAGCACTCTGGGAGGCCGAGGCGGGCGGATTGCTCGAGGTCAGGAGTTCGAAACCAGCCTGAGCAAGAGCAAGACCCCATCTCTACTATATAATAGAAAGAAATTAATTGGCCAACTAATAATATAGAAAATAGCCGGCATGGTGGCGCATGCCTGTAGTCCCAGCTACTCGGGAGGCTGAGGCAGAAGGATTGCTTGGGGCCAGGAGTTTGAGGTTGCTGTGAGCTAGGCTGATGCCACAGCACTCTAGCCTGGTCAACAAGCGAGACTCTGTCTCGGAAAAAAAAAAAAAAAAAAAATTTGTAAAAAATTTCTCCAAAAGGTAAGTAAAATGTCAGTTCAACAAAACATGTAAATTGGATGTAGCTGGTCCAAAAATTGTGCTTCCTGAGAAAAGGAGAATGTTTCCTGGGATGCATGTTTAGGGGAGAGCAGGAGACCCCAGAATGAAAGCCTCCAGACCATGGTGCCCAGCCAGTTCTGTGTGTCGGGGTTTGACACCACCGCTGCTGCTGCCTCTGCCTGAGGGATTCTTCTTGCCACCCTGATGTTGATATGAGGAGTGGTGACCGTACCTAGGTGGGACCCCAGGCAGGTGGGTTTACAGTTATGGGAGGTTGCAGCCAGTGTGTCAGTTTCTCCCCAATACCATAAGGTGTATGCCCACCCCTAGGCCTGTTCTTGCTCTCCTCTCTGGGTGTAATAGCTGTTTGCCTCCAGCCTTTGGGTCTGTGTGGGAACAGAGTTAAATTCCAGCTCAGCCATGAGGGGCTCAGACTTCCAAGAAAATGGCAGTATGGTTGACATTGGTGATCAGAGCTCACTTGTACCCTGTGTGGGTGGCCATAGCTAGAGGATCCTCTGCACCTTCCTGAAGCTGCCTTCTGGCCCCCACGGGGCTCCATACACAACAGGCAGCCAGCCTGCTGGGGAGAGCTGGAGGGTAGTGTTTCCCTGGTGATATGCTAGGACATCTGGAACAAAGCCTGGTGGCTCCAACCCTTTGACCTACCCAGTGTACCAGTTTGGGTGGGGCTCACTCATTCCACCACTTTCAGTCCAAACTTCACCTGAGGGTTAGGGCTTTATATGAATTTTGGAAAGACACATTCAGTGCATAACAGTGAGTCTTCTTAATGTGGGGGACTTTCTTTTTTAAAGCCAAGCTCTGGCATTTAATCACTTGGCAACCTAAGCAGATCAATGTAGCCCATTTTTACTGGGAGAAATGAAGAAAGGCCTGAAGAGGACATTACTAACAACAGTGGCCAGGGAAGTGTATCTAGCTACTCACTCATCCACTTGTTCGTCCGATGTTGATTGTGCTCCTGCCTCAGGCTGGTCGGGAGAGTATTCAACCTGAAGCTGCAATGATGGGGACAGGGATGGCCATGAGAACTGAGGCAGAAATGAGTCAGAGGACTTGCTGGAATTGTGAGGAAAGAGGGCCTCTCCTGGCCCCTGGAGTTTGTATGCCAGATTTGGGAGTTGGGCCTGCGGGAGAGAGTACTGCGTGTAAATCAAACCAAAGGAGACGATTGGGTGAAGGCAAAAGACAATCCCTTGGATCTCATTGAACCTGGATACAGTTGTATCTGAAGCTGTCCTGTGGACTTTTTGGTTCCATGAGCCAATAAATAATTCAGTTTTGGTGGAAGCCACTTAGAGTTAGGTATAAATCCTTTGGAAGGGAGAGAGTTCTGCCTGACTCATGGTTCCCCTCAGTGATCCCCACATTTCAACACCCCCTCTCCTCCCGAGATGGCCTAAGACACAGCCTCCTGGAACTCTGCACAGTCTTCCACCACAGCCACAGATGAGTAAAAGCCATGCCAGGCTCTGGAGGCTCAGACTCCACCAACGAAAAGGCTGATCATGTGTCCACTCAACCTTACTCTGAATTGCCCTTCTCAGCCCGGGAAGTTCCCAACAGCATGGCACCTGTGCACACAAATAGCGCTCAGCTCCCAGCATCACCTCAGCCATCCTGGGCCTCCCTTGGTGCAGTGAGCCCATGAGAATGGCTACACCAGCTTTCCTTTGGTTTCCATTTCCATGGAATATTGTTTTCCATCCCTTTACCTTGAGTCTGAATGAGGCCTTGTGGGTTAGATGTATTTCCTGGAGACAGCAAATACTTGTATCTTTTTAGCCATTCAACCAGCCTATGTCTCTTTAGTGCCCCCCCACACACACTTTTTAATCGCCAGAGAATTCACAACAGAGTACAAGGGGAACAAATATGGAAAAGCCTTTACCCACAGCTCCTGGAATCCTAGGCAGCATTATATCACTGCTGTTTGCTGTTGCAGAATCCATTTTTATTAGTTATCTACTGCAGTGTAAAAAATGACCCGAAACTTAGTGGCTTGAAACAACAGTACTCATTATCTCACCATCTCTATAGGTCAGAAATCTGGGTGCAGCCTAGTGGAGTCCTTTGTTTCAGGGTTTCTCAGAAGGCTGACATCAAGGTGTCAGCTGAGAGTATAATCATCTAAAGGCTCAACTGAGGAAGGATCTGCTTCCAAGCTCATTCACATAGTTGTTGGCAGCATTCAGTTCCTTTGGGCTGTTGGACTCAGGGCCTCTCTGTTTTGTTGGTCAGAGACCATCTGTAGTTCCCTGCCACATGGGCCTCTTCAAAATGGCAGCTTTCTTCATCAAAGCTTTAGAGAACACCAACAAGACAAATCAGTCATTTATCACCTGATCACGGAAGTGAGATCCCATCACCTTTGCTATATTCTATTTGTTAGAAGCGAGTCACTTGGTCCAAGCTACAGTCAGGGGAGAGGATTACACAGGGGATGAGTACCAAAGGGCGAGGGTCACTAGAGCCATGTCACATGCAGCATACCACACCATCTATTCTCTCTCTCTCTCTTCTTTTTTTTTTGGTGAGACAGAGTCTCGCTCTGTTGCCCGGGCTAGAGTGCCGTGGCGTTAGGTAGTGGTACCAGTGCTTCAACCATACCTGGATGACAGAAAATGCTTTCTACCACACCTTACTCTCACCTCAGACCCCAATTTTGACATTTCCAGACCTACTTCCTGAAGAAGAACCCTACCTAGCCACCTTCTGACCCCCAGGGAAGATAGGGGCCTTGGAGAGGTCTTCATGATCACCAGTGCTAAGTAATGTTTATCACTTTGTCACCTCTGTGTCTCATTTTCTTCAGAGCTCTAGCCACTATCTGCAATTGCCTTGTTCTTTGGGCTGTTTGCGTTTAAATCTCTGTATTGCACATCAGATTGGGATGAAGTATGTCTGCCCCAGACAACAGGCCTCAGGCCTCAGGACATTTGTTGAGTGAGCACTGGGCTACTCTGCAGGATCTGTGCTGGGCCCAGACTTCATCACAGCTGACTCTGAGGAGGGAGAGAGCGGGGCAGATAGGGACAGAGTAGTGAATCCCTCTCCCTGTACTCCTGAATCTGCTTACATATTTAGAATGATTAAAATGTTAAAATTTTTAAAAAGTTCACAACTGGTTGGGTGCAGTGGCTCACGCCTGTAATCCTAGCACTCTGGGAGGGCGAGGTGGGCGGATTGCTTGAGGTAGGAGTTTGAAACCAGCCTGAGCAAGAGCGAGACCCTCTCTCTATTATAAATAGAAAGAAATTAATTGGCCAACTAAAATATATAGAAAAAAAAATTAGCCAGGCATGGTGGCGCATGCCTGTAGTCCCAGCTACTTGGGAGGCTGAGGCAGAAGGATCGCTTGAGCCCAGGAGTTTGAGGTTGCTGTGAGCTAGGCTGATGCCACGGCACTCACTCTAGCCTGGGCAACAAAGAGAGACTCTGTCTCAAAAAAAAAAGTTCACAATTATGCAAAAGAATCAGCCATGACGACTTCTGTAAAAGGTTAAGCTCTTGTCACAGTTGCCAATTGTGCCATTTCTTGAGGGATACGTGATCTGCATGGCTATCTCTCTGCCAGTACCACTGACGAATTTTAACATGCCCTTCTCCATAGTCTGCACTGGCTGACCTGGAGTGTAAGATATGGACTTGCTGTAGTATAAGCACATCACCTTTCACCTGGATGCCACCATGTTCAGGACGTCATTCCTGTCCCTTCTTGCATGGGCTGTTGGGTTGTGCAGGAGCATGCTTCCTCGAAGCAGAGATGTTCTCTTGAAGTCCACCTGCTGGCAGAGGTGGGGAGAGGGGTGCCAAAGGGAGAGAAGTCAGAGCACTTATATGTTGACAGATGTGGCCAGTGACTACAGAATGGCCTTAATCTGTGACCTTATTTCTCCTGCCCCTCAGCAGTCTCTCTGAAGATCTCCTGACAATTCCAATCACAGTAGCTGCCAGTCCCAGCAGGAACTGTTTGCCAGGCACCGCTTAAAATGATTTATATGTGACCTTCCAAAATAGATAGCATGGTTTGACATTTATTGAAGGAATACTTAACATCACCTCACAAAAATTCCATGAGGGAGGCATCATTTTCATTTTACATTGCTGCCCCCCTTCCAGGGCCCATGTGCTCATGTACCGAGGACTGGCTGCTGGCTAGGATGTAGATCACCTTGCTGTCTATGAAAATCCAAGTGCTGCCCCTTTAAGAGGAATAGAACTCAGTCCAAATTGTAATTAAAAATGCAATTTACAAGAGCATAAAATTGTGAAATACTTAGGAATAACTTTGACAAAAATATGCAAGACTTGTACATTGCACACTATATTGTTGAGATAAATTGAAGAAGACCTAAGTAAATGAGGAATTTTACCATGTTCATGAATTGTAAACCTCAATATTCTTTTTTTTTTAAAGCTCATCTGCAGATATATGATCAACAAACCTCAATATTCATATGTCACTATTCCCCAACTTGATCTGTAAATTCAATGCAATCACAATAAAAATTCCACTAGGCTTTTTCAAAAAGGAAATTTATAAGGTGATTCTAAAATTCATTCATATCCAGAGGACCAAACAACTTTAAAATGAATAAAGCAAATAACTTATATAGCATGATTTCAAGACTTACTTCAAAGCTACACTAAAAAATATATATATATGGCTTTAGTATAACGATAGACAAATAGACAAGTAGGACAACAAAATGTCAAAATAGACAAACACACATAGATGGTCATTTGACCTTAGAAAGAGGAGCAGAAGAAATTCAATGGGGGAAAGTAATAGTCTTTTCAACAAATGATACTGGAACAATTGGATATCTATATGCAAAAACAAAGAAAATGGCCGGGCGTGGTGGCTCACGCCTGTAAACTTAGCACTCTGGGAGGCTGAGGCGGACGGATTGCTCGAGGTCAGGAGTTCAAAACCAGCCTGAGCAAGAGCGAGACCCCGTCTCTACTATAAATAGAAAGAAATTAATTGGCCAACTGATATATATATAAAAAAAAAAATTAGCCGGGCATGGTGGCGCATGCCTGTAGTCCCAGCTACCCGGGAGGCTGAGGCAGAAGGATCACTGGAGCCCAGGAGTTTGAGGTTGCTGTGAGCTAAGCTGACGCCACGGCACTCACTCTAGCCTGGGCAACAAAGCGAGACTCTGTCTCAAAAAAAAATATATAAATAAATAAAAAAAATTAACTTGAGTCGGGGCTTCAAGAGGACTGACTAGAGACATCTGGCACTTACCTCCTCCACAAAGAAGAACCAAAATAGCAAATAATCACACTTTGAATAGCACGTCTAAGAACACTGGAATTCAGCAAATAAATGACAAGAAATATGAGGCGTGTAAGGAGAGGGAAGCAAGGCACTGGCTCAGCCAGGATTGGCTGGGAGCCCAGAGAAACTCCCCAGTACAGGAAATGGGTAAGTGAGAGGTCCCCAACAGTCCACATTCACATGGAGGACTCCTGTAATCCTAGCCATGGGGAGAGCCCCTCAGCCCTCGTGGGCCCACAGACTAGCATAGGAAGCTGCCTGGAGTCTGAGCTGTGGGATTGCCCAAGGGAGGAGCTCACACTGGGGCCCACAGGTCCTGGGGGGAGGACGGGGGGGGGGTTCTGAGCTGTGGCAGCACGGTGCCATTTTGAGAGCCAGCCCTCACCAGACTACATCCTGCCCTGGGACCAACAGTCCCTACATCTCCACATCCCTAGAACCCCACTGACATCTCCCTATGTCCACATGGAGGGCTGCAATGGAATGATGCTGGTTGGGCCCAGCAGTGTGGCAGGGTCACCAGCAGTTTAGCCCACTGTTCTATACCCTGGGGAGGCCAAAGCATGTGTTCCCCAGAGCTTCATAGCTACCTGCTGGAGGGCAGCCCCACTGACAGCAACTCCTCCCCCTGCCCACCACGCAGGCAGCAGGGTCACATGTATTTGCATGTGCCCTGAGGACAAGTTTTCCCTGCTACCACCCAAGGGGTCTGGAGAGTGTTTTGCCCTGCCCACCACAGTCAGTGCCTGTGGGCACTACCAGAGGGCCTGAGATAGGCTGGCTTGCCCTGGTACCTCCCCTAACCCCCAGTGCCTGAGCACACTGCCCTGTCCACCACCATTGGCATCTGTGCACTCCTCCTGGAGGCCTGAGGACAGGCCCACACAGCCTGCTGCTACCACAACCACTGGCAGCCTCCTGCATGTGCCACCTGAACACCTGGGGACTAGCCTGCCCAGCGTGTTATAGCCACCATTAACACCAGAGCATGCTTCCTGGGAGCCTGAGGATTGTTCTGCCACTGCTGCCATTGCCAATGCCATGCATGCTCCCCAGGGCCCAAGGACCCACCACCCACTCAGCCCATTGATGACATTGCTGGCACCTGAGCAAGCCACCTGCAGGACTAAGAGTTTAAGGCTGCAGTGAGCTATGGCTGCACCACTGCAGCCCGACAGAGTGACATCCTGTCTCAAAAAAAATATGTTACACATGCACAATGGACTACTATTCAGATATAAAAAGAATGAAATCCTGTCATTCACAGCAACATGGATGGGACTGGAGATCATTTTGTTGAGGGAAATAAGCCAGGCACATAAAGACAAATATCAAATATTCTCACTTATCTGTGGGAACTAAAATAGTTGATCTCATAGAGGTAGAAAATAGAATAATAGTTACCAGAGCTGGAAGGGTGTGTGTGGGGGTCAGGGGGTGGGCATGAAGAGAAGTTGGTTGGGTACAAACATGCAGTTAGACAGAATGATTCTAATGTTCGATAGCAGAGCAGGGTGACTATAGTTAACAGTAATGTATCGTGTATTTCAAAATACCTAGAAGAGCTGAAATGTTCCCAACATATAGAAATGATAAATACTTGAGGTGATGGATATCCTAAATACCCTGACTTGCTCATTACATGTTCCATGCATGTAGCAAAATAATACATGTAACCTATAAATGTGTGCAAATTATGTATCAATAAAATAATTTTAAAAACACAAAATAATAGCAATGTAATTCTTTACCAAATAAAAAAACCCTCTAAGCTGGGCACAGTAGCATACTCCTGTAGTCTAGCTAGGGGAGGCTGAGGTAGGAGGATCACTTGAGCCCAGGAGCTCAAGTCCAGCCTGGGCAACTTAGTGAGATTCCATCTCTGAAAAAAATAAACAAAAACAAAAAACATAAAACATAAAACAACCACAAGGCATTGTGGCATTTGAAACAGTACATATTATAAATAATGTTTCATGATTCATAATATATTTCACTCATGCCTATAATCCCAGCACTTTGGGAGGCCAAGGCAGGCGGATTGCTTGAGGCCGGGAATTCAAAGCCAGCCTGAGCAACATGTTGAGACCCTATCTCTGCAAAAAAATTTTTCTAAAAATTAGCTGGGTGTAGTGGTGCATGCCTATAGTCCCAGCTACTAGGTAGGCTGAGGCAGGAGGATTTCTTGAGCTCAGGAATTTGAAGTTATGGTGAGCTGTGATCAGGCCACTGCACTCTAGCCTGTGTGACAGTGAGAACTTGTCTCAAAAAAATCTATCTATCTATCTATCTATCTATCTATCTATCTATCTATCTATCTATCTATCTATTTCATTTTATTATAAACTCTGAATAATTTAAAATTTTGTTAATATACCACTATAAAAATTAAAAATTTGATGTTTAGAGATGTTGTCATTTCTAAAATGATCTCAAAATAATTCCATATCTGAAATATTAGACTTTTGATATTTTGAAGAATCTTATTTGTAGAAATTATCTACACTACATAAATATCCTGACATTAGGAAATAGAAATGCTTATTGTATCTCTGTAAAGAAAAGCCTTAAAGGCTTCAATATAGCACTTCTCGTGTCTTCCAAAACTACCAAAAGAACAAATTATATCTTTGAATTTCTATATCTAAATCCTTCCAGAATATAAACCCCATGAAAGGGATGACTTGTCCATCTCATGCCCCCTGTCACTGAACACCAATCACTATGATTAGCTCTACTGAGTATTTCTTGAATAAAAGATTGATAATTGAAAAAAATTAGCTTGAAATGGATCAGATCTAAATGTAAGAGCTGAAACTGTAAAACTCATAGAAGAAAATATAGGAGAAAATCTTAGTAATCTTGAGTCTGACACAAACTATAAATTTTAAAAATTAATCCCATTGGGCCAGGCGCGGTGGCTCACGCCTGTAATCCTAGCTCTCTGGGAGGCCGAGGCGGGCGGATTGCTCGAGGTCAGGAGTTCGAAACCAGCCTGAGCAAGAGTGAGACCCCGTCTCTACTATAAATAGAAAGAAATTAATTGGCCAACTAATATATATATACAAAAAAAATTAGCCGGGCATGGTGGTGCATGCCTGTAGTCCCAGCTACTTGGGAGGCTGAGGCAGGAGGATTGCTTGAGCCCAGGAGTTTGAGGTTGCTGTGAGCTAGACTGACGCCACGGCACTCACTCTAGCCTGGGCAATAAAGTGAGACTCTGTCTCAAAAAAAAAAAATTAATCCCATTGGACTTCATCAAAATGTAAAACTTTTACTCTTCAAAAAACACTTTACAAAAATGAAAAAGTAAAGCATCATGTTAGGAGAAAATATTTTCAAAAGATATATTGGACAAATGTACCTCAAATATATGAAGAACCCTTACAACTCAATGATAAGTAGACAATCAAGTCAAGTTAAAAATGGGCATAAGATTTGAATAAATACATCACCAAAGAAGACATGTGGTTATCAAATAAACACTTGAAAAGTTGT